GTCATTAAGACGCAGTTTTCCCTGTCAGTTAGAGGAAGTATTCTTTTGATTGAAGTATGAAATATTGCTGTTTTAGAGGAAATAGGTCCAGATGGATAGGTATAATACTATTTACTGAACGTGTCTCCCAGGTCCAGATGGATAGGTATAATACTATTTACTGAACGTGTCTCCTACACAGGTCCAGATGGATAGGTATAATACTATTTACTGAACGTGTCTCCTACACAGGTCCAGATGGATAGGTATAATACTATTTACTGAACAGATCTCCTGCACTGGTCCAGATGGATAGGTATAATACTATTTACTGAACAGATCTCCTGCACTGGTCCAGAAGGATAGATAGACAGTTTTTAGTTAAAGTTTTTAGGTGTAAATGTGGCTGTTCTTTGTTGTCTAGACCTATCATTCATCTCTGTCTGAACCCTGTCACATCGCTGCTGTCATATCCATGAAGAGTAATTCATGTGTACACTCCCACAGGGACTAGAAAACTTGTTACATGTTTACCTGGACATATCGAGACTTGTTTATTGCATGACATTTAGTAAAACGGAACAGTATTTTAAGTAGTATGATTTTCAATAACTCTGAAAGCGTCCTCGCCGAGATAATTGTATGCAATTCAGGTGTAGATGATGATGAGAGGTCGGACAAAAAGATATAATTTGCACCCCCCCTTCCTCCTCCTCCTACATGTATAAAGGTGTGTGTGCTGGGAAATGTCCCAAACTCTACCCCTATCCCACTCCTGGTTTAACGCGCTACTGGGGAGGAAAGTTCACTTCAAACATGCGTAACCAACTTGTGTTTCCCTATCAAAAAAGTATTTCTCATGAATGTCCCAATGCACACAAGGACTAAATGGTTCTTAGTTACCTCATATATCTAGATATAAATCTGTTCCATAGTTTGAAACGTCTGTTTGTAGAAGATAAGGAGAGTTGATCATATAAGTTAAAAAAAAAATAAGAAAAAAAATTTCCTTTGATACTATGATACTACCACGCGACGCCTCAAACGTCTAAAGTGTTAAAAATAATTCGGAATATGTCCAAATAACCAAATCACTTGTAGGTAAAATGCATCTCATATGATACCCAATCAAACTGCAATGTCTGTCTTGTTAAATGTAACGTTAAGTGCGAATTCATGTGTCACTTATCCTATGTTTGTGCACTCACTTATAAACAACTACGCAATCTTCAACCGGATTATGACTCGTTAACATCTGACACATCTAGACACTTTCCTTTCATATATATAATGCCAGAAAAAGGTATACACCTAAGTACGGGTTTATAGATCTGTATGTGTGATATGATTAAAGTCCCTGACATGTTTAAGGTCCCTGACATGTTTAAGGTCCCGACATGCTTAGGGTCCCTGACATATTTAAGGTCACTGACATGTTTAAGGTCCCTGACATGTTTAAGGTCCCCTGACATGTTTAGGGTCCCCTGACATGCTTAAGGTCCCTGTCATGTTTCAGGTCCCGACATGTTTAAGGTCCTTCACATGTTTAAGGTCCCCGGACATGTTTAAGGTCCCCGACATGTTTAAGTTCCCCTGACATGTTTAAGGTCCCTGACATGTTTAAGGTCCCCTGACATGTTTAAGGTCCCCTGACATGTTTAAGGTCCCTGACATGTTTAAGGTCCCCTGACATGTTTAAGGTCCCCGACATGTTTAAGGTCCCTGTCATGTTTAAGGTCCCCTGACATGTTTAAGGTCGCTGACATGTTTAAGTTCCCGAAATGTTTAAGTTCCCGACATACTTAAGGTCCCTGACATGTTTAAGGTCCCCAACATGTTTAAAGTCCCTGACATGTTTAAGGTCCCCTGTCATGTTTAAGGTCCCCGACATGTTTAAGGTCCCTGTCATTTTTAAGGTCCCTGACATGTTTAAGGTCCCCTGACATGTTTAAGTTCCCGACATGTTTAAGGTCCCGACATACTTAAGGTCCCTGACATGTTTAAGGTCCCCGACATGTTTAAAGTCCCTGACATGTATAATGTCCCCTGACATGTTTAAGGTCACTGACATGTTTAAGGTCCCTGTCATGTTTAAGGTCCCTGACATGTTTAGGGTCCCCTGACATGTTTAAGGTCCCTGACATGTTTAAGGTTCCCTGACATGTTTAAGGTCCCCTGACATGTTTAGGGTCCCGGACATGTTTAAGGTCCCCTGACATGTTTAGGGTCCCTGACATGATTAAGGTCCCCTGACATGTTTAAGGTCCCTCACATGTTTAAGGTCCCCTGACATGTTTAAGGTCCCTCACATGTTTAAGGTCCCTAACATGCTTAAGGTCCCTGACATGTTTAAGGTCCCTGACATGTTGAAGGTCCCGACATGTTTAAGGTCCCTGACATGTTTAAGGTCCCGACATGTTTAAGGTCCCTGACATGTTTAAGGTCCCCTGACATGTTTAAGGTCCCCTGGCATGTTTAGAGTCCCTGACATGTTGAAGGTCCCGACATGTTTAAGGTCCCTGACATGTTTAAGGTCCCGACATGTTTAAGGTCCATGACATGTTTAAGGTCCCCTGATATGTTTAGGGTCCCCTGACATGTTTAGGGTCCCTGACATGTTTAAGGTCCCCTGACATGTTAAGGGTCCCTGACATGTTTAGGGTCCCTGACATGTTTAAGGTCCCCTGACATGTTTAGGGTCCCTGACATGTTTAAGGTCCCTGACATGTTTAATTTCCCGACATTCTTAAGGTCCCTGACATGTTTAAGGTCCCCTGACATGTTTGGGGTCCCTGTCATGTTTAAGGTCCCCTGACATGTTTAAGGTCCCCTGACATGTTTAAGGTCCCCTTACATGTTAAGGGTCCCTGACATGTTTAGGGTCCCTGACATGTTTAAGGTCCCCAGACATGTTTAGGGTCCCTGACATGTTTAAGGTCCCTGACATGTTTAAGGTCCCGACATGCTTAAGGTCCCCTGACATGTTTGGGGTCCCTGACATGTTTAAGGTCCCCTGACATGTTTGGGGTCCCTGACATGTTTAGGGTACCAGACATGTTTAAGGTCCCCTGACATGTTTAAGGTCACCTTACATGTTTGGGGTCCCTGACATGTTTAATGTCCCCTGAAATGTTTAGGGTCCCTGACATGTTCAAGGTACCAGACATGTTTAAGGTCCCCTGACATGTTTAAGGTCACCTTACATGTTTGGGGTCCCTGACATGTTTAATGTCCCCTGAAATGTTTAGGGTCCCTGACATGTTCAAGGTCCCCTGACATGTTTAATGTCCCCTGACATGTTTAAGGTCCCCTGACATGTTTGGTGTCCCTGACATGTTTAAGGTCCCCTGACATGTTTGAGGTCCCTGACATGTTTAAGGTCCCCTGACATGTTAAGGGTCCCTGACATGTTTAAGGTCCCTGACATGTTTAAGGTCCCCTGACATGTTTGGGGTCCCTGACATGTTTAAGGTCCCTGACATGTTTAAGGTCCCTATTCTACGTGTCCACGATCGAAAAATGGTATCCTAAGCGTTCAGGATCAAGAAAGTGTATCTAACTCGTCGAGATTCGAAAACAAGATATTCAACACGTCTAGGATTGAGCAATTAACCTGTAATCAAACTAATCCAGTCTTAACGGAATACGTGTGGGCATTTTTATGTGATTAGGGAATAATTCGGCAGGTGATTATGAATAAGAATAGTCTACGGTATTTGTTGGAAGTTTTAATTATCTCTTCCAGGGAGGTATACATGATAGTGTATGTCTAACTCCGTGAATCCCCTATAAAATACATATATACTCAATAGCGTCACCATTACGTGTGATACTGGTATTATATAAAGGGTGATGTTTGACAGACCCGCACAGAAATAGACTTTACTTCAAACTTTTATCAATTACCTTTCGAAAACACTTGTTTATGTAATGGATAGTGAAAAGTTGTTGTAAAAAGTCATCACGATTTTAAGCGTGAATTAACACGTCTGAACGACTCGCTGAGAAGTGTTACACTGTACTTGTGTACCATTAATGTCGCCAGCTTATAGGATCCTTACGTAAACTAGTTCCTTATAGGGTGCCAAACTTAAATTCTCATTCAAAATAGATTTTTTATTTTTGGTATTCATGGAACGTACAGAGCTATTCATATGGAAAATCATCTTTTTTTTTATATAAAATCTGTTTAATGTTTTTTAAAACGAGTTCTGCAAATAGTATTCACGACATGCACTTAAATGGAATACCTTTTGATTGAAATCATGATAACTTTTTCAGTTTAAATCTTCAATCATTTATCTTGCTGTTTAATTAATTTGTCTTAACGCCTATGTAGAAACATCGGTCTGTGTTTGCCGTCCAACTCTCAACATAGGATACGCTGTAAACATATGTGTCGGTCAGTTGCTCAGGGGAAACTGTTCTTGACGTAACTTTCGTTTTATTGCCTTTGTGATATCACTAAATCAGTGATCCATTAGCGACTTTGAGGTTACCATACTTGGTACAGGTAAGTCGTTAACATCCTTGAAGTAATTTCAAATATAAACTTCCTCACTGTAAGCGGATCTCTACTTCTAGGTCTTGCGCAACGAAATCAATCACTATTTGTTATTACTTTGTATTTTTATCTCAAGCTGAATATATTGGTTCGTAGAAACATACCTGTCAAAGGCTACAAATTTATAATTTACTAGGTTAAATGACATAGCAGTCTGTCATCGCATTCAGAAGTCAACAACCGCAAGTTTGCAAGTGAAACTGATTATTCATTCGGGGAAAACATTTTAAACCAAATTTGCTAAAACTATACATTACATAAAGCCAAACATCTGCAGGTTTCTGTTATAGGAAATCCTGCCACCAGTTACATTGTGTTGTGTGGAATCTGAAGTTAGAAACGAACTAAACTCGTAAGAAAAAGTAAGCGAATTTAGTAGCGCGATTCCGTTTATGAAATATTTATATAACGAGACTATTACTTTTGCAGTGACAAGCGTCCCGGTGACCCGGCCTGGATGGATCAGAGAGGCGATGCGGATGGAGCGAAGGAGAACGGATCGTCTCCTGCCCATGCCGTGCTCATGTTGGATAGCAATAACACGGACACGGAAGAAACGGCACAGGAACACCACCAGACAACAGAGACGCTCATCTACAAAATTCGGGAAAATCCTCCCATGCACCTTACCATCCTCTTCGCTTTTCAGGTGAGAGTTCACTTATTGTTTGTATCCCTCCTGAACAAATGGATATTTCTTTTGAATGGTAAGTCACGTGTTAACTGAACACTCCATGAAAGAATGTATAGGTGTCCCAGGTTATGGACTTCGGAACTGGTCTGAGCTTTGAAAAGCTGGGCACTGTTAATTATATACTAGATGACATGAACATGAACGGTAAACAAAGGTGGAACCGGGATCTTAGTCCAGTGACTGGTTACTGTCTTTTCTAATCTCCCATTTTGATATACCACTGTAGTTCTTGAGTGGTGAAGAACATCGTTAGGAAGACATTATCACGTGACTGTTTACTGTCGCAGGTGCAAGCTTGGTTTCATCAAACTGAGAGGACTATCATGAACTTTCCAATATTTTCATATCTCTGTATATGATCGCTAATTAACGTTTATCCGTTTCTGTATATGTTAGAATTGCTTTGATATGTAACAAATTAATGTCTTGGAATACCAATATATACGGACTTAATTATCATTCATAACAAACGGAACACAAAAAAAAGAGATTAATATGAGAGTTCCCAGATATAATTTAGATTTAGGGGAGAAATAAGATCAGGAAGACTGCACTAGTTTTATTTAAAATCTTTCACTGAACTACAATAGTTTTATTTATAAACTGCCACCGTGACTACGATACTTTTATTTATCAACTCTCATCGTGCCTACAAAATTTTAATCTTTAAACAGACATACAAAGCTATAAATGACAACCATACCGATTATATACTAGCACTTTTTACAAAAATATAAATGGGTTTTCACAACAAAAGATTTCTAATATATAGTTGGTGTCGGAACAAACGAGTGAACTGCCTTAAGATTAAACATACAGGCGTCCTGTTGGAGGCTGCAGAAAAGGTCTAACGGAAGACCAATCGATAGATGGTTGCTGTTAATTCCGGCATGTCGCATGATTTTAACGTTTGGACTTAAATTATCTCTTGGTCACTTTGAAGAAACGGACTTAAATTCTCTCTTGGTCACTTTAGAGACACTTGGACTTAAATTCTCTCTTGGTCACTTTAGAGACACTTGGACTTAAATTCTCTCTTGGTCACTTTAGAGACACGGACTTAAATTCTCTCTTGGTCACTTTAGAGACACTTGGACTTAAATTCTCTCTTGGTCACTTTAGAGACACTTGGACTTAAATTCTCTCTTGGTCACTTTAGAGACACGGACTTAAATTCTCTCTTGGTCACTTTAGGGACACTCGGACTTAAATTCTTTCTTGGTTAATTTAGAGATAACAGTTAAATAACCATTGTAGATATTAGCTACATTTCATAATCAACTACGAAAATATTAGTCTGTAGTTAAAATTTTACAAACTACGTCCCTTTAAGAATTTAGCCCTATTGGTAGATTGATTTTTTCACCAGTTGACAACCGTATTTCCTTTTAAGATCATACATGTAAGATATATGGTATTACAAACATGTCTAGACAGTGGATGAGTAGGTGTATTGGATGTCCTAGCTAAACATTTGCCTTTGGATTTGATCTTTTTACCTTTACCCGCATATCAATTTAGATAACCGTTTAAAATCATTCAATTCAAGAACATGTTCGAGTAATTAGAGGCAGTAATTACAAGGATTCAAATAATGCCTTTGTCATTAAAAGTTTTCTATTCTGAGATGATTGATCAAAACTTTTCATCTTTGTTTTGGAATCCAAGCGATGGCAAGCTAAGGGGGCGACAATAGCTTAGGATTTAACACGTAATTAGTATACGTAATCTTTGTTGGAGAACCGAGGTTCGTAGTTCGACGCTCCCCACGTGGCGATTCGTGTTTTTTAGGAAGGTTGGAAGAAACGGGCCGGTTTGTTCAATTCAATTCAATTCAATTTTATTACCAAATGCACACTGCATATATGCATACAATAATATATATATTGATCAAAACAAACACAGATTTCTTGTACAATGGCGGAGAACATATGAATTAGATTCGATTCTCACAAATTCATGCAAAAGTTACAGTGTTGGGAAAAAAATTATTTTTAAGGCAGCTAAGAGAACTCTTTGAGGCATGATTTTAACTGGTCAAGTTATTGGGAAATAATAATAATCATACTACCTTCAGCAGAAGGCCAAATAATTACAGTATATTACTTACTTAGATTCACAGTAATACAACTTATACCTTAGTCACGTTATTCAGTAACAAGACGTTTAAGTAAGATATACAGCTTATATGCATAATAAACTATTTCTAAGGACTACTGCTTGAATCAAGTACTTACTTAAATTTCTAGCATGTTTTAAATTTTTGCAAGATAACACCTCTACCAATTTAAACACAGACGGACGAATACGATAATATGACTTAGTATAAGAGATCCTTAATTCTGGTTTTGTAAGATATCACTGTACATCAAAACTATCAACAATGTGTTTGCACAACATACATTTTGAAGATGCCTAAAAGTTCGTCGTAACAGGCCCTCAAAATACAGTTATCAGTCTTTAATACTTTCAACCAGTACTTAACAATAGCAATCCTACGCTGTACTGATTGTGACATTTGACCAGACAATTTACACTAATTGCTTTGGATGACATACGACAAGCCTCCATATGTTGTTCAATGAAGTTACTGACGATAAGTGTTCACGGTGTAGATTTAGACAATCATTAATTTCATCTGATAATGTATTTAAACACAGGGTCTTGATACGTATTCAGAGCCCCATGGTCCGGATATCCGTAAGATAAGGCTATTATAATGCTTACCTAAACGGAATCCTTCTCAACTTCCGGTGTTGTCAACAGAAAACAAGAGAGCAACAGTCCTAGGCGATAACTTTCGTTGGTCACGTCATCTAAGTAACATGAAAGGAAAATGAAGAATTGTAGAACAGCTTTCATAATAAAAGCAATGTGATTGTACTTGTATAAGATATTGGCTTGATAACTACACAAATTGTACTGTATGTGATAAATTAGTATAATTGAATGTGTAATTTGATTGTTTACAGCAAGCCCTACTTTCCTTAGCGAACCAGTTAGCATTGTCCCTCATGGTGGCCCAGGCTGTATGCGGCGATAATAGCGCGTGGTTCAAAACTCAGCTTCTCAGCTCCACCCTCTTCATGGATGGCATCACGACCATAGCCATGGTGTTATTTGGTGTCAGGTAGGTCACTTATAGATAGATTTGTAGGTAACTGTACTAAAAATTACCAGCCTCAGATACACAGCCTCAGATACACCTGTTGATTACCAGCCTCAGATACACCTGTTGATTACCAGCCTCAGATACACCTGTTGATTACCAGCCTCAGATACACCTGTTGATTACCAGCCTCAGATACACCTGTTGGATACCAGCCTCAGATACACCTGTTGATTACCAGCCTCAGATACACCTGTTGATTACCAGCCTCAGATACACCTGTTGATTACCAGCCTCAGATACACCTGTTGATTACCAGCCTCAGATACACCTGTTGATTACCAGCCTCAGATACACCTGTTGATTACCAGCCTCAGATACACCTGTTGATTACCAGCCTCAGATACACCTGTTGATTACCAGCCTCAGATACACCTCAGATTACACCTGTTGATTACCAGCCTCAGATACACCTGTTGGATACCAGCCTCAGATACACCTGTTGATTACCAGCCTCAGATACACCTGTTGATTACCAGCCTCAGATACACCTGTTGAATACCAGCCTGAGATACACCTGTTGATTACCAGCCTCAGATACACCTGTTGATTACCAGCCTCAGAATCACCTGTTGATTACCAGTCTGAGATACACCTGTTGATTACCAGCCTCAGTTACACCTGTTGATTACCAGCCTCAGATACACCTGTTGATTACCAGCCTCAGAATCACCTGTTGATTACCAGTCTGAGATACACCTGTTGATTACCATTCTTAGGTACATATATTGAATACCTGCCTTAGATACACCTGTTGATTACCAGCCTTAGATACACCTGTTGAATATTACGTGAGCGATATCCTTAATGTCCTGAACCGCTACAAGGATATTTAACATAATTGTAGATAGTGACTTGGAGAACGCGGAAAATGACTTTGTAAAACTTCCTACCTATCATCTGACAGCCGTTAAGTAATGTTTTTTTTCTGTAACAAAATCCTGTCCAGGTTCTTATGGGAGGGGGGTGGGGGGACAGCGATTTGTTCCAGCATCTCCTTAGTTTTCATGACGACACCATACGAATAATATGCTGATCCAGATTAACCCATATGCACATAACGCTGTATTTCCCACTAGAAATCGTGCAGGAACAGGCAGGATGTGTTTCTTTCGTAAAAGAAAAATGCTTAAACCTAGCAAGGTAATACTATTGAAAATCGAAACGTCAGATCATTTTTAATGTGAACAAAAGCATTACAGTCATAGATTATTCTCTAGTTTAAAATTTATACAGGTACATACCATCTTAAAAAAAAAACTACCTGTGCGATATGGGTTTTTTCTATTCTTCATTTCCTCCTTTCTTAATCCATGGTTAAAATGATGGTTTAAACTTTACAAACATCGTGATAAATGTTCTCAAATTGATTATATTTTATAAACGGTCTGTACCAGAGATAAAATTATGTATAACCATATCATTTTCTTTCCAGATTACCACTGTTTCAGGGTGCAGCTTTTGAATATGTTGTGCCATTGTTAGCCCTTCAAACATTAGACCCAGACAGGTGCAATGTGGTGGAAATATCAGGTACATACCATCAACCAAATATAAACTTATTTCAACCTTATAAATTATGTACGTTTATACTTTCGTCCGAATGTGACATGCTAACTTCCGGAAGTTAATTACAATTTCCGTAATGCCAATTTTGTATACATACACAACTTACAGAGTGCCTATTTGCTTTTTCATGAATTCTTTGTTTTGCTGTTACCTATTGTCAGAGGTTAGGTAGTGTATTCATGTTTATCATTATTCTTTTAGAACAGTCAATTACTAATGAGATGACAGGACAGAACTCAACTGTCTTAGTGAACAAGACTATGGAACTTGACCAGGTCGTCCTGGCTAACACCCAAAGTGTAGGTTTGTTTGTATTTACATATATGTTGTACTTCCTTTATCTACAGTTTTAGAAAACATAGTGTATATAAACTGTTTCTTCACTTATTCACGAAACTTGTCCAACAGTTCACGAAAAAGAATGTTTCTCTTTGCGTTATTAACACCTTTATTGTTCGTCGAATATTGGTGGGTATTATTTGAAATTATTATGCTGTGAACAAACTTACCCAAAATATGCCATTTTTAGTGTTCGTTTCAGTGTCATTTATTTTGATCAGTGTCACTTTGACACTTTTCTTCCTGTCTTTAATGATATGAAACATCTTAGAAAGCAAGCATATAAATGATGTCAATTTTTTCTAAGATGGCGGGAACATCAAATTCAACATTGGTGTCGGCATGAACTTGAATCAAAATTGCATAAGCAATATTATGTACACTTGTAATATATATATATATAATCCAGGAAGTTATACACAAATCACAATCCAATATTTCATTGCTGTAAGTTGTGTTTCAGCTGATGGGTAGTCTGATGGCAGCAGGTTTTATCCACTTTCTGATCGGGACCACCGGACTAGTGGGCTTCCTATTACGGTTTGTGGGACCAGTAACAATCGTGCCCACCATACTTCTCATAGGCCTGTACATGACCAGGACGGCTGTTAAATTCATAGAGGTTCACTGGGGTATAGGGATCATGTAAGTACAACACGAGAGATTCACAGGGGTAGAGGGACCAACTATATATAATACGAGATTCACTGGGGAAGAGGGGTCATGTAAGTACAACACGAGAGATTCACAGGGGTAGAGGGACCATCTGTATATAACACGAGATTCACTGGGGAAGAGGGGTCATGTAAGTACAACACGAGAGATTCACTGGGGTAGAGGGATCGTCTGTATACAACACGAGAGATTCACTGGGGTAGAGGGATCATCTGTATACAACACGAGAGATTTACTGAGGTAGAGGGATCATATACAACACCAATTGTTATATCCGAAGTGTTTCTTTGTTTTTGAATCATGTACTTTATATTTCAACCTCCCTACAGGACTACAGCTATTTCCTTGCTACTGTCGCTGTATCTAGGACGATTTAAATTGCCGATTCCTGTCTGGACTCGAAAACGAAGTTGTCACGTAATACGATACCCTCTGCACCAAGTCTTTGCTGTAAGTTTGAGTTAGAGGTTGTGTTGGTGCATCTTTTGGGATATTATTTTGTTTTATTATGAGAGTATCTGTATTCATTTTTTTCCTGAATTTTCTAAGAATTCCATACTTCTCGTTACATATTTTAACTGATTAGACATACGTTTGATGGTAAAGCTTTCTTCAAAGATGATATGACATCTATTTAGTTTGTATTCTGGTAGATCTACCAAATTTTGTTACCTGTTCTGTCGTTGATCTAAGAGACTGTATGTTCTTATGTAACGTGTTGATGGTGATGGGATCTGATTGCAGCTGCTGATAGGGATGATGATAGGCTGGGCGGTCAGTGGAGTGTTCACGGCATGCGGACTGCTCAGTGATAACCCCGATGACCTTCAGTATAAAGCACGTACAGACATTAACCATGATATCGTGACGAATGCCAGCTGGTTCTACTTCCCACATCCAGGTAGGTGACACCTGGTAATAGTGTACCTTCCATTAGATCGCCTGATCAGGTAGTTACACGTGCACTTTAAAATCAACCTTGCCATCTATGATTTATGCGTTTGAAGTTCCCAACTTTCATACCTCCGCTACTTCCTCCATTACCGACTGGTATCATGAGTTGTATACCTAGTTTACCTAGCCCATGTACACGTATATCGTCCTCTTCACGTGTATATACGATAGATTTTCCTTCATCACATTGCACCATCATTTCTTTTTTTAAACGTTAACTCAATATTGATCAGACTTTCGCAGTGACATTTGCATTCTTAAACGTTGTATTATGTAACTCCGTAATTTTTTCAACTGTCGCCAAATGTCACCAAGACGTTTAGAAATAACAATCCCTGATTAACTGAAGACATTAATTGTACAACTAAGACATATCATCTCTTGCACCACAAGATGATCTTGTATCTGGTCTATTTGAGAAACATTACCTTGATGACTGTTCCACTACAGGACAGTTCGGTGTACCCGGCTTCAATGTCAGTGTGTTTGCCGGTTTCCTGCTCGCAACTCTCATTTCCATTCTGGATTCCATTGGGGACTATTATGCCTGCGCGAAAACGTGCAATGCTCCCCCTCCTCCATCACACGCCATCAACAGGGGAATCGCTGTGGAGGGACTTTGTACATTCATGTCTGGAGTTGTGGGATGTGGCCACGCTACGTCGACGTACGGGGGCAATGTGGGCGCCATTGGGATCACAAAGGTAAGGCACTTAAAAAGCAAGGCGATTTCTTATACATCCTTGCGAATGGGGTTTGTGTATTGGTTTTATTGACCGTTTACACAACTCATTTCGCAAGTTTTCTAACCTTCAGTTTTGTTGGTCACTAAGAAAGAAGAGAAAATACAAATTGCACGGCGGAGTTTCTCACTGAAACCATTCCAGGAGCTCTCAATCTGTTGTAGAATTGGAGTCCGAAATATTGGTCTTCGGTAGCACTTACATTTGTAAGAAAATATTTTTTATTATTTTGTTTTATTTTAGGTTGGGAGCAGACAAGTGTTCCTCCTCACCGGGATCATTTATATCGCCTTCGGTTTGATTGGGAAGTTTTCGGCTGTCTTCATCACCATTCCTTACCCCGTTCTAGGTGGCGCTCTCGTCGTCATGTTCGGAATGTTTATTGGTGTAGTGTTATCTAATCTGCAGTATGTTAGTCTTACATCTACTCGGAACATCGCCATAATCGGAACCTCCATATTGTTTGGTCTTATGGTACCTTACTGGGTGGAAAAAAACCCTGACGGAATAAACACAGGTATATAATGGAATATTGCTATATACTTACTAATGTCGGTTTGGTTTTTAGCAAAATAAGCAGTCTTGCATTAGTTTTATAGGAAAAGTGTTTCGTCTTCTTTTCTATGACCATTTTAAAAAATGTCGATGAAATTTATTTTTCCAAATTCTCTATGGTTTTTTAACATAATATCATGATTGATTGTGATAAGGCAGTATGGACAATCACAACACGTTGTATCCGTTATTTAGGTCATTCTGACACCGACCGTGTGCTGAGGGTGATCCTGGGTAACGCCAATTTCGCGGGAGCTGTGTTAGCTTGTTTCCTAGACAACACCATTCCAGGTAATGATTCTGGTGACACTGTGCAATTCTGATCCCTATTTTAAGTTGTGATAATGATTATAACGCTTGAATTAACAATCAATAAGGCGTGGATGTTGATCAAGATAACAGCCCCTATGTTATTTACAAGCTGTAGAATTTGATTTGAATTATTGTTGCTTCGCCATTATTAATTACTTGATTCTCGCATCAAAACTATTTGATCGTGAAATCCACTCATTGGTTAAACGTACATGTAGGCGTATCGATTTCGTTTTTCGGCCTTTAAGGACATGATACAGCAAACTTCGATGAAATTAAAATTGAAATGTTTAATCAAGATTGCCTTGGAAAAAGAAATTAATGACAAGATACTCCTTATACTGGTGTATGGACTGTATCTCTTGCGTAAAGTCGCTCAACCGGTAACTCATTGACAAGGAGAGCAAACGGCCAACACCGACTGTATAACAAGGTTAAAAAATGCCAAGCATATAGATAATGCATGGTCAGTGTCTTAAAATATATGTTGTAATTTGGAGTAAAGACAGAAAAAAGTAGAGAACTTTTGTCGTGGCATTGTTGTCTTTCTGTCCTTAGCCAAAATACAACTTATTTAAGACATTTCAATTGCCACGGTTATTCCATATCGTCCCACTTATCCAATACTGATGTGTCAGAAGATCTCGTGTTCCAATACTAGGGATACCTACCTCGTGATATGTCCACACACAAATACCCTTTACATTGGTATTACATTTTACAAATAACATTTTATGTTCAGTGACTGTCATGGTTGAACATTTTAACTTGACAACAAAATCGTACTGAAAGCCTTTGCTTCAATTAGTACAATTTATCATATACACACACACACACTGTAGCACATTGACATGTCTGGATCAACAGAAATTCTCAGGTGAGTACATCCTTAATGTATCTCATACACACACACACACACTGTAGCACATTGGCATATCTGGATCAACAGAAATTCTCAGGGAAGTACATCCTTAATGTATCACATACACAACACACTGTAGCACATTGACATGTCTGGATCAACAGAAATTCTCAGGGGAGTACATCCTTAATGTATCGCATACACACACACACACATACGCTGTAACACATTGACCTGTCTGGATCAACAGAAATAAGTTGATCATATTACTCCCAGACAATCGGTCCAGTAAAACAAGATGGTAACATTAACGTGGTTGTGGTGTTATTTGAATATCGGAGAGAGTTCAATGTTTTTCATTACTTTTGCAGCCACCAAGGAAGAGAGGGGTATCACCGCTTGGCAGAACGTTGCCAAGCATAAATCGAAGGAGGACCCACAGCAAGGCAAAGAGGAACAACAATATGAGGAATCTATAGATGTTTACGAACCACTGCTTCCAAAAGCGTGGAGAAAACATTTCATCCTCAAGTATATACCATTTCTACCGGATCCGGACGAGTACAACATTGTTAGTGATTGTGCCTATTCGTCTCCTGACAAATGTAAAAATGGTACGTTAGAAACTGCCCAGCTTTGAGGGTACATTTCGACTTCAGGGAGTATGTATCATATCATTAACGCCAAATGGGAATTTTATTGATAATAATCGTTTATCAAAATATCAAAACAAGGGATTCGAAAAGGCCAAACTAGATATTTAAATATCTGATATTTATTTGTTTGATTAGTTTAAACATGATTATAAATTTACTGTTTTATTGGACAGAAATTGAGTAAGCATAATAGAGCTAGTGTCTGGGTGTTGTTGATATATATTTTTGTTACATTCTTTGCTTGAACGGGGCCATTGCACATAACTTGTTGATTGGTTGTTCGTAAATGTGATTATTTTCTCTCTTTTTTTCTACAAATAGAAACATCTTGTATGATTTTATCTTTAGTTTTTATTTCACTAATAATTTCAACAAGTAATAATAAGGAGCTTTTTTTCTATGAGTACCTGAATCTGTTTATCCAGTTACATGTAAGTGTATCATTATTTGATGGTGACTTTCCTTGTAGCCATGAGTAGTTGGGTAAGACATAGAAACAAAACACGGTAGTCAGAGAATAGAAATAAATTTTCTTATGAAAACAAGTTGAAAGTTGATAGATCAAGTATTCTTAAAGGCATTGCTGCTTGTGTGTAAATTGATATCTGTAAGTTGTCGCCGATATAACTACGTCACCAAGAAAAATGAGACTCCGATAAAATCTGTCTATACACAGATACAGCATGTGAAACAGATCTAAGTATAATATTTCATTATCCATAACTATAAGATGTGAAGTCTCTATGTCTCCATACGTCGTTACTAAATACGATTGTTCATTACAGATTCTCGTATCTGGTATAATTTCTCAGGTTCACCATTAAATGTGGAACAGGTTTCCTTCTAATAATTTTATTTATAGGACAGATCTGATGTAATTTCTCTGGTAAGACTTATCAATGATATAATTTCTCTTGTGAGACAGGTTTCTGGTATGAGTTTCCTTGGGAGACAGATCCCTGATCTCCTTTGACACAGGTTTCTGGTATGAGTTTCCTTGTGAGACAGATCCCTGATCTCCTTTGACACAGGTTTCTGGTATGAGTTTCCTTGTGAGACAGATCCCTGATCTCCTTTGACACAGGTTTCTGGTATGAGTTTCCTTGGGAGACAGATCCCTGATCTCCTTTGACACAGGTTTCTGGTATGAGTTTCCTTGGGAGACAGATCCCTGTTCTCCTTTGACACAGGTTTCTGGTATGAGTTTCCTTGGGAGACAGATCCCTGATCTCCTTTGACACAGGTTTCTGGTATGAGTTTCCTTGGGAGACAGATCCCTGATCTCCTTTGACACAGGTTTCTGGTATGAGTTTCCTTGGGAGACAGATCCCTGATCTCCTTTGACACAGGTTTCTGGTATGAGTTTCCTTGGGAGACAGATCCCTGATCTCCTTTGACACAGGTTTCTGGTATGTGTTTCCTTGGGAGACAGGCCCCTGTTCTCCTTTGACACAGGTTTCTGGTATGAGTTTCCTTGGGAGACAGGCCCCTGTTCTCCTTTGACATGGTTTTGGTATGAGTTTACGTGTGAGACAGGTTTCTGGTATGAGTTTCCTTGGGAGACAAGCCCCTGATCTCCTTTGACACAGGTTTCTGGTATGAGTTTCCTTGGGAGACAGATCCCTGATCTCCTTTGACACAGGTTTCTGGTATGAGTTTCCTTGGGAGACAGATCCCTGTTCTCCTTTGACACAGGTTTCTGGTATGAGTTTACCTGTGAGACAGGTTTCTTGTATGAGTTTCCTTGGGAGACAGATCCCTGATCTCCTTTGACACAGGTTTCTGGTATGAGTTTCCTTGGGAGACAGATCCCTGTTCTCCTTTGACACAGGTTTCTGGTATGAGTTTCCTTGGGAGACAGGCCCCTGTTCTCCTTTGACATGGTTCTGGTATGAGTTTACCTGTGAGACAGGTTTCTGGTATGAGTTTCCTTGGGAGACAGATCCCTGATCTCCTTTGACACAGGTTTCTGGTATGAGTTTACCTGTGAGACAGATCCCTGATCTCCTTCGACACAGGTTTCTGGTATGAGTTTCCTTGCGAGACAGATCCCTTTTCTCCTTTGACACAGGTTTCTGGTATGAGTTTCCTTGGGAGACAGATCCCTGATCTCCTTTGACACAGGTTTCTGGTAGAGTTTGATCTCCTTTGACACAGGTTTCTGGTATGAGTTTCCTTGGGAGACAGATCCCTGATCTCCTTTGACACAGGTTTCTGGTATGAGTTTCCTTGGGAGACAGATCCCTGATCTCCTTTGACACAGGTTTCTGGTATGAGTTTCCTTGGGAGACAGATCCCTGATCTCCTTTGACACAGGTTTCTTGTATGAGTTTCCTTGGGAGACAGATCCCTGTTCTCCTTTGACACAGGTTTCTGGTATGAGTTTCCTTGGGAGACAGGCCCCTGTTCTCCTTTGACACAGGTTTCTGGTATGAGTTTCCTTGGGAGACAGATCCCTGATCTCCTTTGACACAGGTTTCTGGTATGAGTTTCCTTGGGAGACAGATCCCTGATCTCCTTTGACACAGGTTTCTGGTATGAGTTTCCTTGGGAGACAGATCCCTGATCTCCTTTGACACAGGTTTCTTGTATGAGTTTCCTTGGGAGACAGATCCCTGATCTCCTTTGACACAGGTTTCTGGTATGAGTTTCCTTGTGAGACAGATCCCTGATCTCCTTTGACACAGGTTTCTGGTATGAGTTTACCTGTGAGACACAGATCCCTGATCTCCTTTGACACAGGTTTCTGGTATGAGTTTCCTTGGGAGACAGATCCCTGATCTCCTTTGACACAGGTTTCTGGTATGAGTTTCCTTGGGAGACAGATCCCTGATCTCCTTTGACACAGGTTTCTGGTATGAGTTTCCTTGGGAGACAGATCCCTGATCTCCTTTGACACAGGTTTCTGGTATGAGTTTCCTTGTGAGACAGATCCCTGTTCTCCTTTGACACAGGTTTCTGGTATGAGTTTCCTTGGGAGACAGGCCCCTGTTCTCCTTTGACACAGGTTTCTGGTATGAGTTTCCTTGGGATCTCCTTTGACACAGGATCCCTGATCTCCTTTGAGGAGTTTCTCCAGGTTTCTTTGAGACAGGTTTCTTGTATGAGTTTCCTTGGGAGACGGATCCCTGATCTCCTTTGACACAGGTTTCTGGTATGAGTTTCCTTGGGAGACAGATCCCTGATCTCCTTTGACACAGGTTTCTGGTATGAGTTTCCTTTACACAGGTTTCTGAGACAGACAGATCCCTGTTCTCCTTTGACACAGGTTTCTGGTATGAGTTTCCTTGATCCCTGTTCTCCTTTAACACAGGTTTCTGGTATGAGTTTCCTTGGGAGACAGATCCCTGATCTCCTTTGACATGGTTCTGGTATGAGTTTCCTTGGGAGACAGGCCCCTGTTCTCCTTTGACACAGGTTTCTGGTATGAATTTCCTTGGGAGACGGATCCCTGATCTCATTTGACACTGGTTTCTGGTATGAGTTTCCTTGTGACACTGATCTCTAGTATAATTATCTCCTGCGAAACGCGTTTGCGGGTGATATCTAATTGGGCAGCGTCCGTCCTTGCAAGGTCATTTTCCGGATTAGTGCTCTGAAACCGTTCTAGACTTTTTACAGTCATCAAGCCAGTAATGTGGTTATGACTTTTGCTAGGGAGAAGTTCTCTTTTTAGATCGTTTTTTTCTCTATTACTATGGACACAGATAGGCCGAATCACAAATTTCAGATTTTCTGGAGCAGTGCTCTGAAACGTTCAAGATGATTACTTGAAACTTTGTACAGTTATTAAGATAGTAAAGTAGTAGTGTCTTTTGCTATGGGGAAGTTCTCCATTAAGTGCATTTTTGTAACCATGGGAAAAGGCCAATATATATAGTTGTGTGTCTTTTAAACAGCATGACGCGGGAATAATGTCATCTCTTCCTTCATTTTCTGTTCTGAGACAGGTCTCTGGTATAATTTCTCTCATGAACCTGGTTTCTGTTTTAAAATCTCTTATAGGACATATTTCTGGTAAGGGTTTTCTTGTAACACAGGTGTCTGGTATATTTTCTCTTGTAACACAGGTCTCTTGTATACTTTCTCATGAGACAGGTCTCTGTTATAATTTATTTTGTGAGACAGGTCTTTGGTATAAAAGGAGGATCACCGCTAAATGTGAAGTAGATATTCCGTCGCCTAAATGTTGCATCTAAATTGTACACATTGTTACCTGTTTCATTTACAGTATGATAGTTAACGTTTTGTTCCAATGATAAAATGCACTTTGTAAACTATTGTTACAAGTGTAGTGTTTTAGTGACTTTACTTTGTTAAATTGATGAAACTGCATCAGTTGTAGCGTAGTTATTACATGTGAATCATTCAACAATGCAGTGACGTCATTACATCATGTTACATGTAGTGACGTCATTACATCACGTTACATGCAGTGACGTCATTACATCACTTACATGTAATGACGTAAAACCACATGTTACATGTAGTGACGTAATTACATCACCTTACATGTAGTGACGTCATTACATCATGTTTGGTTGTAGTGACGTCATTACAACGTATTACATTATGCTGACGTTGTAATTTGTGTCATGTTCAGTTATAGTGATGTGATCAGTTTACGTTACGTTTTAGTGACGTCATTTAAAGTTGTTTTGGCGCAATTACATGTTGATAAGTTGTTTTGATTAGAAGTGTACTTAGATGATTGGATAAGGTTTATATAGGATAAATAAGTTCCCGTTTAGTGCAATGAAATTAAACTACAAACTGTTATCCAAACAAAGTCCATAACAGTTGTATGTAGATATTCCAATCACATACTTAAAGGTTGATGCGCCATCCTTCATATTCAAATAACAGTTATCCGACCATCGCTTCCATTTGACGTTCAGAATATACCATTCCCACAAAATTTAGTTTTTGTTGAAAATGTATAAAGAACCAAGCTTCCTAGATATTCAAATAACCAAAAATATCT